AGGGGGAGGAGGAGGTGGTGGTGGTCTTCGCCAGCCCTCGACGGCTCTCTCCGGCCTTCCGGAGATGCCCTCCCGCGGCGGCGACCCTCGCCGACGGCGGTCTCTCGGGGGCTGCCCAAAATTCGTCCCGCACGGCTGCCAGAGGCCAGACTTAGGACCCTCCTCCTCCTCCTCCTCGTTCTCCTCCTCCTTCTCATTCCTTTCTATGCCTCCTTCCTCCCCCTCCTCCTCCTCCTTTCTCTCCTCCTCTCCTCCTCCTCCTCCCTCCTCCTCCTCCTCCTCCTCCCTCCTCCACCTCCTCCCTCCTCCCCGTCTTCGAGAGCCAGCAGTCTTCCGCCTGCGAGGCCGACCGCGGTCGTGCCCGGCTCCTTGGCACTCCCGATTTCGTCCGGCCGCTCTGTAGGTTTCACCGGTCTGTCGAGGTCACGGCATGCGGCGGCTCACCGATGGCACGTGCACGTGCGGGCCTGTGCTGCGTGCTGGCAGACACCAGGGAGGCCCCTGGCAATTCGGTTGTGCGCCACGGTGTGTGTGTGTGTGTGTGTGTGTGTGTCTGTGTCTGTGTGTGTGTTTGTGGGTTTGCGTGTGTTTGGTTTCGTCGGTCGGTTTCGTCCTCCCTTTCTCCCCGCCGTCCACGCCCGGATGGCACATGGTGCGGCCCTTCTGAGGCCGGCGCGCGTGGGGCTCCGGCCGCGGCATTGGGCTTTCCCCGCTTCGTCGTTGCGCGCAAATCCGCGACTGCCAAAAAGTGTGTGTGTGCGTCTTACTCCGTCTCGTCGCTGCGCGCGAGGCCGCGACCCCCAAAACAATTTGTGTGTATGTATGTATGTATGTCTGTATGTCTGTCTGTCTGTCTGTCTGTCTGTCTGTATGTATGTATGTATGTATGTATGTATGTTTGTTCGTTTGCATGCATGCATGCACGTATGTATGTATGTATGTATGTATGTATGTATGTATGTATGTATGTATGTATGTATGTATGTATGTGTGTGTATGTATGTATGTATGTATGTATGTATGTATGTATGTATGTATGTATGTATGTATGTATGTATGTATGTATGTGTGTTCCGACGTTTCAGGAGCACCGCTGGGCTCCGCCGGCTTTCGCGGCTCCTTCGGCCTGCGATTTCTTGCGGCTCCGCCGCCTGCATCCAGCTCTCCCCGTTTCCCCTTGACGCACTCCCTCGTCAGCCCACGCCTGCTTACTCGCTCTGCCCGCCTTCCACATCCAATCCGGGTTGGATGATGTCACCTTCCACCCTCACCGTAGTTTCGCCTACTCACCGCCTCCTCCCCGCCATCCATGCCCCCCGGACAGTTATGGTTGCCAGCGGCTGCGAGATCCGAAGCGGTCTCCGAGTGCTCGGCCGCGCGTAGACGCGCTCGCTTCTCTGCCTGCTTCAGACTTTCTCCGGCCCGTCGCCGCGCGCGGGGCCGCGACGCCAAAATTGTGTTTGTTTGTTTGTTTGTTTGTTTGTTTGTTTGTTTGTTTGTTTGTGTGTTTGTTTGTTTGTTGTGTGTGTGTGTGTGTGTGTGCGTGCGTGCGTGCGTGGGTGCGTGTGTGTGTGTGTGGGTGTTTGTTTGTATGTGCGTTTGTGCGTGTATGTGTGTGTGTGTGTGTGTGCGTGTGTGCGTGCGTGCGTGCGTGCGTACGTGCGTGCGTTCGTGCGTGCTTGTGTGTGTGTGTGTGTGTGTGTGTCTGTGTGTGTCTGTGTGTGTATTTGTGCAAGTGTGTGCAAGTGTGTTTGCGTGTGTGCGTGTGTGTGTGTGTGTTTGTGTGTTTGCGCGAGTGTGTGTGGGCGGCTCCTTCAGGCGCGCACTCGGTGAGCAGGGCCACCGTACCTCCGTGGCCCCACTGGCGGCAGTAGGGGCGATCAGGGCAGGCAGCGGATCATGTCCTCCTCGCGCACGGCAGGCTTGCAGAATGCGCAGATCTGGTGCAGGGCGCGCGCCGACAGATGATGTCCCCCTCCCTCCCCGCCCCCTGCACGTGGTTCTCTTTCTGAGCTGGGGGGCGGCGGGGCGCGAAGGGCAGCGGGCGGGCGCGGATGGGAAGGAGGAGGAGGAGGAGGAGGAGGAGGAGGAGGCGGAGGAGGAGGAGGAGGAGGATGAGGAGTAGGAGGAGGGGGAGGAGGGGGAGGAGGAGAGGAGGAGAAAAAAAGAGGAGGATGAGGAGGAGGAGAAGGAGAAGGAGGAGGAGAGAAGGAGGAGGGTGGGAGGGAGAAGGCAGGGGGGAGGAGGAGGAGGAGGAGGAGGTGAGGAGGAGGAGGATGGAGGGGAGGAGGGGAGGAGGAGGGGAGGAGGGAGGAGGGGAGAGGAGGAGAGAGGAGAAACAAGAGGAGGAGGAGGAGGAGGCGAAGGAGGAGGAGAAGGAGGAAAGGGGGGAGGAGGAGGAGGAGGAGGAGGAGGGGAGGAGAGGGGGGAGAAGGAGGAGGGGAGGGAGGAGGAGGAGGAGGAGGAGGAGAGGAGGAGGAGGAGAGGAGGAGTCGGAGGAGGAGGAGGAGGCAGGAGGAGGAGGAGGAGGAGGGAGCAGGATGAGAGGAGGGAGGAGGAAGAGAAGGAGGAGGAGGAGGAGGAGGAGGAGAAGGAGGGAAGAGGGAGGAGGAGGGAGCAAGGGAGGAGGAGGAGGAGGAGGAGGAGGAGGAGGAGTGAGGAGAGGAGAGAGGAGGAGGAGGAAGGAGGGGGGAGGGGTCGAAGTGCAGCGGGCAGCGGGCGGGCGCGAGGGGGCGTCGAAGCCGAGGAGGGAACTCTGGCTCGGAGGGGGCCGGGTGGCCCCGTGTTTTCTCAGGGCCCCTCCTTCTGGCAGAGAGCGCAGCCCTGAAAGCTGGGCTTTTCGGAGTCAGCCTGGCAAGACGTCGGCTGTGCGCAGAGAGCGCGTTTCCGTGACAGGCCGCCAGGGACCACGGGTTCCAGCCCACAGACTTGGCTCAGCTGCACACCATCTTCGACAGGCACTGGCCGCCCCTCCTACTCTCCCTCCTTCTCCTGCTCCTCCTCCTCCTCCTCCTCCTCCTCCTCCTCCGCCTACTGCTCATACTGGGCTGGGCCTCGCTTCCCGCGGTCCACTTCTTGATCTTTGCGATGCCCTTCCTCCCGTACAGTCCGTGCGAGCCTCAGGAAACGTTTCTTGCTGCTCCTCCTTCTCCTCCTCCTCCTCCTCCTCCTCCTCCTCCTCCTCCTCCTCGCTATCCTCCTTCTCCTCGTCCCTCCCTCCATCCCTCTCATCCTCCCTCTCCTCTTCCTTCCCCGCAAATCAGGGGACACATAAGACTTGCCTGTTCTCATCCTCCTTTCTGTTTGGCCCCCCCACTCTCTGGAATTACACAATC